TCTTTATTTAAAAAAAAATGCCAAATGGGAGAACGGGTTGTAAAAAGCCGCTAGATTAGAGAATCGCATCTCAACCACAATACCCTTAGTAAAAGGTGGATCATTTTGAAACCCCTTGCCTCCTAGCTAACCCTGTCAGGTTTTAAGTGGTTTTCCTCATGAAACGCTGATGTGGATAAGTAACATCAAAAAGTTCTCAATGTTGGCAATTTCGTCCCAACGCTTGATCTTTGTTTTCTGGGTTTGGTTCAAAGTTATAATGCTTTGGAATAGAACATTGATAGCCGAAATGCCAAAAAGGGTTCGACAGTTCACTGTCAGTTGTAAGTAAATAAATAAAAGGGAGAAAATGTCAATAGAAAATAAGCAATATCTTGGTTATTGATTTCTTGATCACATTATGATATATTATTCTTTTATTAATATTTTCACAATTAGATTACCATTCTGTGCACGTAATAAACTTTTCAACCTTTATTTTCACCCACATCATCTAACATTATTCAAATTTGAAAATCAATACCGCGCTCGCGCTGAGTGACGTCAAGCGATGTGAATCTCAGCACCTGGTGACTGCGATGACAAGCATTCAGCCAAATGGTGACGAACCCTAATACGTCAGGGGGAAAAAAAAAGTCTATGTGTAACAATAAAATTGTACTTCCCACTATGCCCCAACATCTGCCGGTCCCTACCATCCATTCCAGAATCTCTACCTTATTACCTGCCCAGTTGGAGAAGATCACGCAATCCAATGGGAAGTCGGCAACTGCTCTTTCACGTCTAATGCGCACCCCCTTACCCATTGCGGATGACAAACATAGTTCCGATTGTGGGGGCGGATAAAACGGTCAGGTGTCTTCACTGCGGCGTGACATGGTCAATTTGGTTGATACCTGAAGAGAGAGTTCTGTTTGGAAGACCTGGAAACCGATGTTGACCTTTTCGATTGGCAATTCCCACCTGGAGATACTTTTGTAGGGTTATCTGTGATTTCCTTTTTTTTTCTTCAAATTTGAATGAACGCCAATGTGCAAATGTAATTAAAGTTGTTCGCCATTTGTTTTGATGTAACAAATGACCCATCAATAGATATTTTAAATTCCCAAATATATATTTAGACCACAGTTAATAACCAAGCATTCATAAATAAAGTTAAAATGGTATTTATCATTTTATATTTTATAACCGTCGTTGAACAGCCGACCCAATTTTGGGTTTACAACTACTTTATGTTCAACTCCGTATCCTTGTACTTCTGAACCTATCCAGAAGACAAGGAAACTCCAGGATCAGTACCCCCAGAGGTATGATTTGTTATGGGAACATGGAAGACTTTGAGACTCGACAGATTTAACGTCACCATTCCATTCGTCACCTTATCAGTCACCATTTACTACATGGAGAGTCTTCGGATCGAACCAATGACCTCTTAAACATGGACCCAGTGTCCTACCAACAAGGCTTTCCCGGTCTATGATCCATTGGTACAAACAGATCATTTGTGTACCATTATTAACTTTGTTTTAAGCCCGTTTTAGACTAGTTCAGATCTCTCTACACCAGTTCCGCAGAGCCTTTGGATTTCGTGAAAAAGTCACAGGGGTTCCGAGAGTTAGAACATTATTAATTACAAAACCCTAATAAAATATAATTTATTGTCATAAATATTATTATATTTATTGCAAATTTTATTACAATAAATTATAATATTGCAATAAATATTATTATATTGTAATAAAATCTGCATCAAATTAATTTTTATCACTAATTTAATATTAATCTGATAACGCTTATTTTCGCATTATTTAAACCAGAACAGCAGTTCAACTCCTTCATTTTGAGTTTATGCTTACAATGGAATAAAATTAAATGACCAGATATCACTTCAGGCCTGTAAATTCAACTGTATGCCATAAAATCCAGTTTTAAGACTAGTGTTGTTGAAACTACACGATGAAAAAATTTCTTTCTTCATTAAATTCATTAAATATTTTCAAAATAAGTTAAGGTCTTTAATAGATTAGTATTTTTCAAATTTGCTATTGAAATTTCTTCTAAGTCTCGGGGTTCCGCTGAAAGAAAGTCGATCATTTAAGGGTTCCATAACCGAAAAATTGGCGATTTTTTAAAGAAGTTTTATAACTTTTAAAATATTTAAGTTATTTGTCCATTCTAAAGCCCAAATAATTCTTCAAGGCAAAATGACACGAATAGTTTAAAATTATAGCTTTGCTTCAAGTGTAAAGCTCTAAAACTAAGGATTTTTTAATTTTCCTTGGCGAAAGTGCATCGAAAAACCATGTTAAAAATAAAAAAAAAATATCAAATTTGCATTCACTTTCTTTTATCCAAAATTTCTAATTTATACTTTAATTTTAATTTCAGGTTGTTTCTTTTAATTCAATTTAACTGTTACGCAAAATAAGATATTTATTTTTGTTCGTTAAAATCCCTCTGAGAGCTTTTTAATTCTTAATCATCCACAGAGCTTCATCGCCAACTGTGGCACACTCTCTGTTTTGTTAAATACAGATAAGGTGCTAGTGAGTCAAAAGGATCGAACCGGGGGATTAGAATGATCATTACTTTTGTTGCCATATTCATTCTCTGCTACCGTTTCGTGATGAAGTGATGCGGAGAGAGTCACTAGTATAACAACACACCTGATGAGGGAAAAGTCAGAACGTGATGCTTCTGTTAGGGATTCTTTTCTCAACTTTTCCTTTCAAAAAGGGATTTATGAGTACCGAAAGTTTTACTAAATATTCGATTTTTTTAAATTTTTTTTTAGTAATACAAATAAAATGAAATGTTACTTTAATTTCTATATTTCTAGTTTGCCTTATTACTTCGTATTTTACATAAAAAATTAATTAAACACTATTTCCAGTTAATTGCGAAGTTTCTAACCTTGTTTTCATTAATTTTGAACGAATATACTTAAACAATTTTCTATTTCTTACAAAAAGCGTAATTTATTTATTTAAAATGGACAGAATAAGTAAATTTGATCAACTCATTTTTAATTTTTCAACGTATTTACTGTACAAATTGATTAATATATATATATTTTTTAAATATGTGGTATTGAATTACAATCTTATTATTGAATTATGAAGTAAAATAACGTTAATTTTAAATAAAGTTATGTATAAAACGAAAAAAAAAATTTAGTATAATTTATAACTTAATCTGTAGATCACATAACTGTCATTCACATAAACTACGTAACTTAATTTATATTTAAACTCATTCGAATTTTATGATGTAACTTACATAAATTTTAAAAATAATAATGCTGATTAAAATTTGTACGCAACTAATTTTCTTGAATATTTTGCATTAAAGAGCTAATTAAATACTACAACTACATTTATACAAAATATTAGCATAACTATTTACGCGTACTTCATTATATTAAAATATATATGTAAATTTAATGTCTGAAGTTATGATGGCTATTTCAGATACAAAGCGATTAAAATTTAAATAATTACCATTTTGATTAAAAATTCCTTGCGCTAATATTATAAAAGCTACAAACTCATTATTTTAATATTATTACGTTTATATTAATAATTTCAAGTTGAAATTAACTTCATGTTAGTATCACAAAAAGTGATAGAACAATTGTGTTAAACATAAACAGTTCCCATTTTAAGTAAAGATTTTCCACGTTAATAAAGCAGTTATTTCAAATCTAGAAGTGCTTTGATAATTCCCGATTGAATTGAAAAAATATTTACGTTAATAAAGCAATTATTTTAAACAAAATAAGTGCCTAAATATTTCCTGTTTGAATTAAAATATATCTGCGTTAATAGAACAATTGTATTAAATAAAAGCAAATAGATACTTAAATAATTCCCAATTGAATTGCAAAAAATATCTCCACGTTAATAAAGCAAGCATTTTAAATATAAGCAAATAAGTTCTTAAATAATTCCCGATTGAATTTTAAAGAAATCTCTACTTTAATAAAGCAACTATTTTAAAAAAATGAGTGCTTAAATAATCCTCATTCGAATTTTTTAAAAAAAATCCCTATATTTCCGCGATTTTCAAGGGAATTAAATCACAGTCGTGGGTGTTATTGCAGGTGATACTGAAATAGGGATTTGTTCTTTATCTATCTACTTCATCTGGTGGACAGACAGTAATAATAATCTGTAAAAGTGAGGGGTAACACTACCGGTCTGCTAAAACAGCAGCGTGTTCTTCCTCCCCCTCCCCTCAAATAGGCGCGTGTTGCACCACCGTTACATTATTATCCAAAAAATGAGACTTTTTGAACGCCCTTCTGACAATCAATAGGATATGTAACGGTTTGTGTTTGCATTGAAGAGGGATGATGAAGAGGGGGAGGGTGGTGAGTGATGGTAATAGGAAAAGAAATTACAGTAATGATACAGTGCTTTGGTCTCCCAATGATCGGCATGCAGATGATTTGTAACAAAAGTCGGATGTTGGGGGAAAAATTTGCAATAATTTTAGCAATTTATGTGGTTCATTTAAAGTTGTTGCGTATTAAGGGTAAAGGAAAACTAGAAAAGTGCACAGTGGAAAAATAAAAACGGAACACTTCCATAATTGTGGATCGAATGATCGGATTTTCACGTACTCAAGAGCAATCTTGATATTTTGAGAGGTAGACTTTAAATTTAGCAAAAAAAGATGGTATTTTAAGTTAAGAAATCAGTTTCCCTCTTGGTCTTCTATTAATGATTATTATCGGTCTTCATTAATAGACCCATGTAACAGCCCAAGTAAAGAAATTGCTAACTAGTGTCGGTCTTCATTAATAGGCCTATATAGCAGTTTAAGTAAATAAATTTTTAACTATTGTAGGTCTTCATCAGTAGACCTATATGACAGCCTATATAAATAAATTCCTAACTAATGTAGGTCCAATTAATTGCTAACTAACAAATTGCTAACTATTATTTATTAATTTGCCTATACAGCTTATATAAATAAATATTCATTGAATGTTGTAGGTTCCGATGAAAGAAAAGAGTATCAAAAAGAAGATGGATCAGAGAATTCTGGAATCATCCCTCCTCCTCTCATCCCAAAACAGGAAGATGGGGATGAATTGTCTCATCTCAGGTGTTACGCCTGTGACATCGAATTCCCAGATCATTACAGGTTAGTAATAGTAATTAGCAACAGTTTGCAATTAGGTCATTTTTTAACCCTTCATAAGGGCATTATGCTTCCCACAAACTTCCTTAACTATTAGTAGTCAATAGGAAGTTTTTAACCTCCTAAGATTTGAATGTTCGTGCGGCCATCTGCTAATAATTTCAGAAAATAAAAAAAGAAACGAATGAAAGGCGTTGCTTTGAAAAATGTGGATAACAGTAATGGTTGGCGTGGGGTCGAAAAGAGAAGTCAGCACTGGAGAACCATTTTTCCTTTTGCGTTTTGCGTTCATTCTTTTAATCATTTCTCATCGCTTTTGCTTGTAGTTAAGAACACAATATTTATAAAATATTTATAAATGCGGTTATTTGTAAGTACGGATGTTCAAGTTTATGGAAAAGTCATTACAGTAAGAAACATTTTTTTGAAAATTTTGTCTACATTCCCACCAAAAAAATATTATCTTAAAAATTAAATTAATTTTGATCTAAATGAATCGCAATTCCAAAAACATTTTCACAATAGATTATTTAAAAAATGGCCTTAAAGGCACATAATTACCCATCTATAGTTAGTATATTTTGTATATTTTATGACTCTGTTACCGTGATTGACCAAAATCAAGAGAATGTGAACTTTCACCAGTGAATGTCAACAATCACATAGTCACTTCGGTGAATGTCCGAAACATTTGTTGTATCCGATTTGATATTAATTTATTCGTCGATATTATATTTATTCGATATTTTAATATCTGCTGACGATAGATTAGGAGAAAGATCAGTATTCGGAGCACTGGTTAAATGCATACTGAGTACGGGCACTTAACTTTGAAAAAAACATCAGTGGAGGGTATACTAGGCAAATGTACACCGGGCAGTGGCACTGAACCTAAAAAAAAACCATCAATGTAGGGTATACCGGACAAATGCCTACCTGGCAGTGGCACTTAACTAGACCTAGTATATATTTCGGACATTTACCAAAGCAACTACGTGATTGTCGACATTCACCGGTGGAAGTCAACCACAAATTTTAATCATTCACAGTAACAACTACTCGTCTTCAAGAATGTATGATCTAAAGTGAAAAGGCTGATCTAGAAGATAAAATAATTCAGTTTAAAAATTCCACTTGTGAAAATTTTTCTTAAAAATTATATTCTAATAATAGTTCACAGCTTGAATTCTGATCACGAAATTGACATAAAATGGTTTGATTTTCCGATCATTATTTAATTTAAGAGACATTTACCCGTAAGCGCAATTTAAAAGCCATCTCTTTCTTCCTGCATATCAAATAGCGAATTCTTCCGTGCAACCGCTTAGAGCGACAAAATATAGATAACTAGAAGCATGAAAAAGGAGTCAAAAATGACAAGTGAGCTAATTGTCCTTTTAGCGATTTGTTACAACTGACTAATGAATGGAGATTAATTCTTTTTTAAGTAGATTACGAACATACGCCTCAACTCTAATTTCAAAAGAAACCCTAAAAGAATACTTTATTTCATATTTTGTCGTATGCTTAGTTCGATGTTTTTTAAAAAATTATACGGTGGTAAATAAAACAGCGTTTTTATTATTATACGACGATATAAATGTAAAAATATTTTCAGTGACGTTTCTTCGAGTGAAGGATATGCTGTCTATTTATATTTATTGTTCTAGATTCTTAAATAAATTGGTTTTAAAAAGAGTAAATAATTTATGGATGTTTTTACGGTATATTTTCGATTAAAAGTTAATTTTTGAAAATGTCGAGAACACGTTTTTTCTTTGAAAATTTATCACAAATTAAAAATCCAAAAAAATAAGTGTATACGTAAAATGAATTCATTAAATGAAAGCACATTGCTTGCGTTAATAATTATAATATATTGATTTAAACTTAATTTTGATTTATTCATTGATTTAAATTTAGAATATACATTGATTTCATCTAATTTGAAAATGGCCAATCTATTAATTTAAATATGTTGACTCTACTTGATTTAAATCAAATGATTCGAATAATAATTGTTTCGATTCTTTGTTACAAAACCACCTTACTTAATATGACAAATTTAAATTGATTGATTCGAAAGATTATAATGAAAATATCACTGTATATTTAGAACAATAATTTGAACACTAATTACAAATTTAATAGGAATCTCTGATTCGGAGAAACTACAATACAAAAGAAAAGATTCCTTTTATTCCGATTACTTTAATTACTCGTTTTGCTCTTCTTCTTTGGTTCTTTGTTGGAAATTTTAGCCATATTAAGATTATAAATATTTGAAATTAAGATGTGTAATAAAAATCCATAATATCTCCTGAATTTGTCGTAATCTGAATATAATACTAAGTTGAATCATAGTATCGTATGCTTTGTTTCAACTTTAAAACACCAACTTGAACTTGAGCACCAACGTGAACTTAAACGTGAACAACGAAGCTGTTGTTCAACTTGAAAACACCCACTTGAACGTGAACACAAAGTGAACCTAAACGTGATCTTCGAAACTGTGGTTCAACTTGAAAAGAAACATTTTTCAATCGAATACCATGGTCGCTACAAATTTAGAGGATTATGGTTCATAGTTTAATAAGTTTTTCTGAAAATAAATAAAAAGAACGAAATAATCAAACGAAGTAAAACTGAACTAAATGGATACATATTTTGATTAACAATCTGAAAGCAATGAACTAAAACAATAAAAACCAATTACTGTTAAAACTCGAATTCACATCATTGAATTTCGATCAAATCTAAACTCTTTAAATCAATTCTTCAATCGAAAACCATTACAGAGGTAGACTTTAAATTTAGCAAAAAAAGATGGTATTTTAAGTTAAGAAATCAGTTTCCCTCTTGGTCTTCTATTAATGATTATTATCGGTCTTCATTAATAGACCCATGTAACAGCCCAAGTAAAGAAATTGCTAACTAGTGTCGGTCTTCATTAATAGGCCTATATAGCAGTTTAAGTAAATAAATTTTTAACTATTGTAGGTCTTCATCAGTAGACCTATATGACAGCCTATATAAATAAATTCCTAACTAATGTAGGTCCAATTAATTGCTAACTAACAAATTGCTAACTATTATTTATTAATTTGCCTATACAGCTTATATAAATAAATATTCATTGAATGTTGTAGGTTCCGATGAAAGAAAAGAGTATCAAAAAGAAGATGGATCAGAGAATTCTGGAATCATCCCTCCTCCTCTCATCCCAAAACAGGAAGATGGGGATGAATTGTCTCATCTCAGGTGTTACGCCTGTGACATCGAATTCCCAGATCATTACAGGTTAGTAATAGTAATTAGCAACAGTTTGCAATTAGGTCATTTTTTAACCCTTCATAAGGGCATTATGCTTCCCACAAACTTCCTTAACTATTAGTAGTCAATAGGAAGTTTTTAACCTCCTAAGATTTGAATGTTCGTGCGGCCATCTGCTAATAATTTCAGAAAATAAAAAAAGAAACGAATGAAAGGCGTTGCTTTGAAAAATGTGGATAACAGTAATGGTTGGCGTGGGGTCGAAAAGAGAAGTCAGCACTGGAGAACCATTTTTCCTTTTGCGTTTTGCGTTCATTCTTTTANGTAATTATTTTTTTAGTTGTTGTTTCAGTTTATTTACGTCACTCAAGAGCAGCGCAACTAGCTATTTTATTTTATTTTATAACTGCTGTTGAACAGTCGACACAATTTTTGAGTTCACGACTACCAATGTTCAACTCCGTAGCCTTGTAGTTTTGAACCCAATCCAGAAAACAAGGGAACTCCTGAATAAAGTATTGGGGAAAATTTGCCTTCGTGGAGGATTTTTTTTGATGGAACTAACCCTCATTTGCTTTCCATGGATAGGAAAAACACGAAATCCTCCTGCTGTTGCTTGACGGCAAGGAGACTCTAACCCATCCGCTTACCACTAAGGATATTTTACGACAGTACTATAATCGAATCGACCAGCCATCGCTGGGATTTGAATCTAGGTACAATTAGCTATTGGCGACGGTCTGGGAAACATCTTTAAGGATAATTCGAAGACACGCCATCCCAGTTGATCCCCTGCAGAGTCAATATCTCACTCGCTTTGGTAACCTGAGGACCTGCACGCGAAGTCAAGCACTTTACGATAGAACAGTTAAACGAGGACCGATAACTTGTACCCTCGGTTCCTACGCAATCTGATCAAAGTGGGCACCTACCATCTCACTGACCGTAGTCAGTGATATTTGATTTCGTTAATCTACTGGGAATCGTGTTTTTATGATTTAAAGTTTTTCGTTCCGAAACATTTTGCAAGTAAAAGAAACACATGAAATTTTTTTTAAGTGAAACCTAAGGACATATACTGCTCGAGAACTTTAAATTTATCTCTATTTTCCATGTTAAATAACTCGAAAAATAAAGAAACTATTTATTTCTGATGTAATTACTAAAACTTTCATAACGATTAAAATGTTCTTTTTTAGCATGCTCGCTTCTAACCACATTATCTTAAAAGGAGTATTAATAGCAAACCTATATTTACAAAAGAAGTAAAAACGAGGGTTTTCATTTAGCAAATGAGAATAAAGATGTTTAAGTAGATGTTAAATGCACCTCATGTTTTCACTTTATTGTTTCTTCCTCTTAAGAGAGGTCTTCATTGGATATTGAAACGGGCATCATGCATCATAATACCCTGCCTTTTTTGTTGACACATGTATTCCGCCTATTTCAACCGTATTAAACAAAATTTCGTTCAACGCCCATTAATTTTTGCGTGGGTGAAAGGATTTCTGAAATTTTGACTGACACTGGATGGATAATCATCATCAAAGGAATATTCTCCTATTAAGGGCCAAATCTTGTCTAGACTCAAGATTGATGATACTTATAACTAATCCTTAGTCGATTTGAACTTTCGGGAATACGTGAGTGTGAAATATAAGTATTTATCTCGGAAATAGTTAAACGTTTATTACCCTCTTTTTTTACCGATACTTCCCCGTTTGTTTTGTTTGGTAATAGAATAATGAATGTTTATGTTATGGTTTAATATATTTTTCAAGTTATTTGTTATTGTTATAATTAATGATTCGTTCAAAATGCCTCGCTTGCTATTGACGCGCTTTTGTTTTTAAATTGAAATTTCTACTGCTTTCTGACGAGATAGAGAGCTCAAATTTAGCAGGTTAATTTTTTTCCCTCCGTGCCTTATGTCAATACAAGTTTGTTTAATAAAAAGGGGCAATAATATTAGTCGTCCTTTTAAAGTCAGTAGGAATTTCGACCGAATTATTTTTACTTTTATTGTATGCTTTGGGTACAACTGTGTCCAGTCAACTTATGCAGTTAAAACAATGAATAAAGAACTGTGGAATATTGGTAGGAAATAACCAGAATGAATTAATTGGTTTGGCTAAAACCTTTTATCGAGCCAGTCCAAAAATAAATAAGAAAATAAAAGATAAAATTTTAGATTGAGTTTTAGAAATGTTAACCGAGCAAAATAATACGGTTAAATGTTATCCCGAAGGAAGAATTGGAAACTGAATCTAATAAATCAAATCTGTATTAACACAATAAAACTATTTTCGTTCCTTCAACTGAATAATTTTAAATCTTGATGTAAAAATCTATTTATCGTGGGAAGTCTAGGCTTATATTATCAAAAAATAAAAAAAACGAAAAAGAAAAAAAAAAAGAGAGAAAACTCTTTTTTTATCATCAAGAAACAAAAAAAAAGGGAAAACTCTGCTTATCATCCAGATTCAAAAAAAGGAAAAACTCTTTTTATCGCCAAGAAACAAAAAGGGAAAATTTTTTATCGCTAAGAAACAAAAAAAATTTTTTTTCTATTGTTAAGAATAAAAGAAGGTAAGACTGTTGTCAAGAAACAAAAAATTGAAAACTCTTTTTATCGTCAAGAACCAAAAGAGAAAAAAAATGTCTGTCATCAAGAAACAAAAATAGAAACTGTGTTTATCATCACGAAACAAAAAGGGAAAAATCTGTTTATCGTCAAGAAACAAAAAAAGGAAAACTCTTCATCGTTAAGAAAAAAAAAGAAAAGAAAACTCTTCTTTATTGTTAAGAATAAAAAAAAAATTTCTGTCATCAAGAAACAAAAAATAGAAATTCTTTTTATACTGATGAAACAAAAAAGGAAAGATTCTGCTTATCATCAAGAAACAAAAAATAAAAACTCTGCCTATCGTCAAGAAACAAAAAAAGGAAAACTCTCTATCGTTAAGAAACAAAAAATGAAAACTCTGTTTATCATCAAAAAGAGAAAAAAGAAAACTCTTTTTATCGTTAAGAAGCAAAAAAAAAGAAAAGATAGTTTGTAACAATCGTTGTGATTGGTAAGCGAAATAAGCAAGAGGGCAGAGTCCTCTAGTAATCTATTATACCTCAAACTCGAAAAGTTATTAGGACATCCCTGAATTATTGCAACAAGCATTGGAATAGAAAACTTAGCAACGCATAGAATGCCTTGCATTCCAATTCACTCAATTCAATAAAACTTTATTACAATGTTCTTGGCACAGAAGAAGAAATCAGACGGTAGAAAAAAAAATTCCAACCAATTGTTTCATTGAGTCACGAAGCCATCTTTCCCATCCTCAGAACGAAAAAGGATATCGATATCACGGACGCTTAATTCTACAAAAGGCGATGATCAAGATTCAAAAATCAACACTATTGTTATTTTTTGAAATTATTGATACTCTGATTTTAATAGGAGGACGCCGGCACGCTGGAGTCTTCGTGCGGATACTATTAAGATTACCTATTGAAAAATATTTTTCTGTTCTCACAGAGTTATGAAAACGTGCAACACGCCTGATTGGATTGTCCGTGGGAACAGACACTGGTTCTGTAGACAACTTTCAAATTGGGTACTGTCAGGGAATGAAAGGGATTAAAAAAAGAAAACAATTATTTCATTATCTTGATCAAAATCAAATGTAGAACTTTGGTGAAAAGTTCTTTGGTGAAAGAACTTTTTTCCAAAATCTATAAGCAATGAAACAACTCTCGTTGGGTGTTGCTTGGATAGTGTTTGGAATGGAAGTTTGAGGAGGGTCTGGTATAAAAACTTTTGGGTTTTGTGTGTACCATAACAAAATCGGTTCACAAATTTCCTGCCAGACATTTTCCAAAATCTAAATATTTTAAAAATAAATGATGTTTGGGTCACAGAAGTGTAGAAGTTTGGTGAATGAGGCTCTATAAGTCAACCAACTGCTCTGTTTTTTAAAGTGACAAGAGCTGCTTGAGGAAAATTTTGAGAAAGTATTAACGCTTTTATGTGTTGTTTTTACAAATTAAAAAGTATACAATTTTTATAGAAGCGTTTTGAAATAGTTTTAAATTTCAAGCATTCAAAAAAAATGGATACTTAGGTCTCAGAATTAAGCATAGAACTTTAGTTAGTAAACTAGGACCTATAAGCAATCAAACTTCTCTGTTGCTTAAAGAGAAGAACTTCTGAACAAACTTTTAAGAGTGTCCAAAATGCAATTTAAATTTTTATGTGCTGTTGTGAAATTTAAAGTACGTAAATTTTAGAGAGACGTTTTAAAATAGTTTTAAATCCAAGAAGTGTAAAAAGATTGATGTTTTGGTCTGAAAATTAACTGCAGAACTTTGATGAATCAGAATCTATAAGTAATTAAACTACTTTCTTGTTTCGAGTACTTCTCAACAAAACTTTTGGAACTTTTAAACGTGTTTTTGTGCGGCTGTGCTGCTTTCTAAAAAGTCTAAAAAAAATTGAGAGACATTTTAAAATAGTCTTAAAATTTAAAATCTTTGAAAATTGAATGCTTCGCATTCAAACTTTGGTGAACAATGTAAGTAATAACACTTCCTGAACAATGTAACAATGCAATGACCAATTTAAGTAATAACTCTTCCTAAATGTTGTTACAGGAGTAAAGAGTTTCGGAACTTCATTTTCAAGAGAGTTCGAAGCATATTTTTGGACGTTTTCTGTGTCTTTGTTTCTTTCAATAAATAAATGAAATTTAAGAAAAAACACTTTAAATAATTTTTAAACTTTTAAACATGATGTTTTGTAGACAAAAGGAAAAAGAGATATTTGGTGAACAAAAATATATTAAATTTTTGATTTAATTTACCAATTTGTTTTATTTATATTGAATGAAAATTTTACATTAAGCATCATTATAAAAAAACGTTTTTCAACAACAAAAAGAAAACAAAATAATTCAATATCAAAACTTTTGACTGTAAGCCATTGTAAAGCTTTGTCAAAAAAAATTTCTAGATGATTTAAATTAAATATG